CTAGGGAAGGAGCATTGGCTTAGTGAACGTCCAATGTACATTTGAAAAATATGGCAATATATGTTTGTTTCTGATTTCATTTCTTTTCTCCCTTTATGGTCACTTGTACGACCGTATTGTGGCCTTCCTACTGTCATGGCAGCACCATCTATTTAGTACTCAAGGATTGAATCTCAAAACTTTCAGGCTACAAACAGATGCACATACAGTACTTTCATTCCGAGCCTCTGGAGTTTGTGTCATAGCCATGTAATTTCAGCTCGAACGCTTACATTAGAGCCATCATTACCTCTAGCGGCCAGATTTGCAATGAAATGGCATGGTTATCCTGAGCAGTTGCTCGCAGAATTCAACATCGTTATGATCGACTTAGCTCGGAACCTCGAAAACATTGAAGGACTCAGACATGCCATCTACGCAGACGATGTTACAATCTGGGTGACAAGCGGATCTCTAGGCCAAAAACAAGATCTTCTGCAACGTGCAGCTGATACAGTTCACGACTATGTGCGTCAATGTGGCCTCGTCTGCTCTCCGTAGAAATCGGAAGTCCTGCGAGTCTACAGACGAGGATACAATCTGCAAAACACCATAGACATCTATATAGGGGGGAAGAAGATTCCAGAAGTGTCCCGAATTAAGATTCTCGGCATGTGGATACAAAGCAACTGTCGTATAGACCACACCATCAGACAGCTGTCAAACACTACAGCAGAAATCACGAGGATGATCACCAGAATCTCTTACAAAAGACGGGGTATGAAGGAGGAGGACACTTGTAGGTTTGTACAGGCCCTCGTGGTCAGTAGGATTGTATACAGTGTCCCCTACCAAACACCACTCCCACAAGAAAAAGAACAATTAGAGGCAATACTCAGAAAAGCCTACAAGTGCGCCCTTGGTCTACCTATCAGCACCTTGACAGAGAAATTCCTTAAACTCGGGATAAACAACACAGTGCAAGAACACATCGAGGCGCATCTTGTTGCGCAGAAAATGAGATTACTGTTGACTGCTATGGGCAGGCATACGTTGCAGACATTGGGCATGAGGGATGCTTGCGGAGAAATCAATAACACTGCGAGCATACCAAAGGACATTCGCCAGATCATTAAAGTCAGCCCAATACCTCAAAACATGCATCCAAAAATCCATAAGGCTCGAAGAAAAGCCAGATCAAAAGCACGAGAAAAAAAATTTCAAGGCGACAACTGAGGTATTGTACGTTGATGCGACCACATACAGAGAGCACTCCGGGACAGTTGTAAGCGTTGTTGATCACAGACTTCGGGAAGTCAACAGCGCTTCGATCAAAAGCAACAACATCCTCGAGGCTGAGGAAGTAGCTATCGCGCTCGCCATCACAGACGAGAGCGAAGAGTCTACTACAGAAATAGTTACTGACTCGCAAGAAGCGTGTCGACGGTACAGCAGTGGACGCATATCCAGTGCTGCCATCCGCATACTCAAGGGAAGAAAAATCAACTTCTCGAACTGCTCCATTACGTGGACACCAGGCCATGAAACTGTGACAGGGAACCAGCGTGCCGACGCCATTGCCCGAGAATACGCCGACCGGGGGGCACACAGCGACGAGGAACCAGCCACAGTTACTAGACGCTGTGGAGCAATTTTAAACACCAGCCAGCACCGAGGAGGATATACCGCCCTCCCCACAAAGACCTCAACAGAGAGCAGTCGGTTGCCTGGAGACAGCTGCAGACTAATACGTACCCCAATCTCAGTCTTCTGAGTAAAATCTATCCGGGATTATACACCAACGAATGCCCGCTATGCAGAGAACACCCCACACTTTACCACGTAACATGGGCCTGCCAACACACACAGGTAGTGCCAAGAAACTGTACACCAACACCGGAGCAGTGGGAGGCTGCGCTGTCCTGCTCTAAGCCTGAAGAACAGCTCAAGCTGATCGACCGAGCTTGCAGGATGGCAAAGGCCACAGGGGCCCCGGACTGAGGGCTCCACCTTCACCGGAAAAAAAAAAACTATTTGTAATAATGTTTTGCATTCCATTCCATTCCATTCGCAGAATTCATTACCTATACTAAAAAATGTCACATTTCAATCTGAGTACTGGCCATAAAATTTTGCTAGTGGTATTTCATTGGCAAAAATTGTTCATAGTAAAATGAAGTGCGCTACCATTGGCTGGATGGGAGCTCCTTAGCTGATACAAACCTGCCTCTGCCTGACCTAATTTAGAACAATTTTTTCTGTTGGTCTAAATAGCTGGTGGGAGGTGATAAGTAAATATACAATCGTTACTTTGTAAGTTACAATGTGTTATCCTAACGCTCAACATTTCTTCAGTGTGATGGGTGCATTTGTTGTTGCTGGTAAATGAAAAAGCTTCACGGTAAACATGAAGCTATTTTTCTTTTATTGCGAACAGCTCTGTTACCCTTGTGTGAATTTCTCTGTGTGTTAAGTGCAAGAGCTTGGTCCCAGCAAGCTATATATGCCTTAGGTAGCATGCGAGGGTTTATTGATCAGTCACTACATGATGCGAAAATTGAATGCCCGGCCGTGACGTGCTCTGGCAAAGAAAGTGTTCCAGACTTGCCGTTTGAGCGGGGCTACCTAAAACTCACATGGATGAAGCGCACATAAGTGCCCTACAAAAAGGTGGACAAGGGAGCACAGTTCATTGTTGTTCAAATGGTAGAGTATCAGGTGCGTTATTCGAAGTTTTTAGGTTCGAACAGTAAGGGCGATTTTCTGTCCACTTTTATTCATTTCAATTTAAATGAGAATTGATGCACTACAGTTAACTACAAATATTGCCCAGTCAGCTTTCCTTAGCTTAATTGTCGGTTGGTTTCAGTAGCTGTGTAAAAGACACAAAACGAGGCTGCTGGATAGTCGCCCTTTCATTATTTATACACACTATATGCTTCCGACCAGTAAAGGACAAATCCCGAGTGTAAGCTCTGTCTTGTCCACTTCCATTGTGCACATCTTCGTGGTGCTTTTGAAAACTGATATTTGCACATGAACATTTACCGAGTTGCCCAACTTGCTATCTCGCTGCAGGAAGAGGGCACATCGTAGCTCCTCGGCGCCATGTCTGCCTCACGCTTGGAGCAGATGAGGAGCCAGTTCCAGCAGAACTTGCAGCAGCGCAGCGGTCTCCCACGGCCAACGCGGATCCCCGGACCAACAACTGCTGCTGCTTCCAAGGTTTCACCACCCGTCAAGCAAGCCACACCTTCTCAATCGTGTACCAATGGCCACAGCGATTGTAGATGGAGAAACAATCTCAGCGAGTCAATGGCAAGGTTCAAAACGGCAATGTTAACAAAGACATCTCGGCCATCAGAAATGGTATGTGGAGTTTTCGAATTACGCGCACAAAAATTTACGGCGGAAGCATGGTACAATTGAATTGCTTGAGAGGAAATGTTCGTCTGATGTGATGCTAGCTTACTGTCTAAGGTTTGTAGAACATTTTGAGAGGGTGAAGAATGTTCAAGGAATTAGTATTTTTTGTTAAAGGGCCAGTAAACAGGCTCAGACTTTTTTTTTACACCCCCCATACAAGCTCTGCAATTCGTAGATTAGACCACAGCGATCACGTTTTCTGAATATTACAGTGCCACGCAGAACCCTTATTTCGAAAAACAATTCCCGCGCATCTTTCCTACGCCTGACCTTAATCCCTTGCAAGCGCAGTGACGTCAACTCTGTGACCCGCGACGTGACGTAGCACACAGCTCGCCGATTGGTCTAAATCGGGTGTGAAAAAACAGTAGTGAAGTCAAGGTCAGTTCCTGTTCCCATCCAACAACTACGAAACTGGCCCTTGCTTTTGGCACTGTGGCGAAAGAACCAGCCTCGCAGTTGTCGCGTGCACGTGTACACTCCTCGCTCAACTACAGCGCCTGTGCGCATGTACTTACGTACTTCGCCCTTGACATGAGCAACACGGGTCAAAAGCAGTTGCTCTGTCGCCGGCTGCAAATGGAGAGACTAGGCAGCGGAGAAGCATCGGCACTGGGTGCCTCACGATGGGGCCCTGTGCGCTGCATGGCTAAACTGAATCGGCCATCCAGCGACGTACGTTGGGAGCCTGATCGTTTGTGGTCGGCACTTCGCACCTGATGCTTACAGGGTTGAACAGTGGCTGGTGCAGCAAACTGTAAACAAACAACCATGCTTTGCAGCAAGCGGAAGTGTGTTCCGACTGATCAAGTTCGCCGTTGACGTCAATCGACGACGTTTTGTCACGTTGCCGAAGTTGGCAGAGTCACGACGATGGACTACGCTTTCCCCTTCATGGAAGGGGTAGAAGGGGTGCGAGGCCACGCCAAAATTTGAAACCAGCTTAGACCGATGTTCTAATCCTCGTAACTTCCTTAATATAGCACGTATTCGCAAAATTCTTGCGGCAGCATTTTCGCAAAGAAAAACTGCACATATATCTCTTTTAAAAAGTTTTGGACCTACGGTGCTATTTACTGGCCCTTTAAGTTGCGTAAGGACGTTGCCCAGAAATAGCAACAGTCTACTAGGCAAACCTGAAAGTCTAATGCTTTGTTTCTGTTCGATGAACTGAGTTTCCTGAAACTTGTTGCTTTGTTTTTTCACTGGCTCATCCCAGTGTAGCCAGTGGATTGTTTCAATGGTACCGAGGTTCTACTTTCTCTTCTCCCCTCGGGACGGTGACTGAACCATCCTGCTCTGCATTAATTAGTTAGATGTTGTACTCGTGTTATCACATTTAATTCTTGATACTTTTTGATCCCTCCTCTTGCTTAATGCTACGTAAAAGGCCCTCAGGTCTACAATAAATGGTGACACACTGAACTCTTGAGTGCACACATTATATATTTTTATAAACGAGCAGTACATACCCAAGCAGCACAAGCCCTACAAACCTAATTCTACAAGTCTCTATAGTCATATTTGGAAAGAATATTGATGATTGCTGCTAATTCAAGGTGCACGACAGCTAAGTTTGATTGATTTCCATTTAGGTCAGCTTAATGGGACATCTCGGCCAGCGACGAACGGGACATCTCTGCCAGCTACGAACGGGACATCTCGGCCAGCGACGAACGGGACATCTCTGCCAGCTACGAACGGGACATCTCGGCCAGCGACGAACGGGACACCAAGGCCGCATACTAACGGAGCGTATCGGCCACAGACCAACGGGAGCTCCGCAGGCAGGGCAGTTGTGGCGAATGGCACCCGGCCTCAGACAAATTCTGTGCAGCCTACGCTACCTCCAGTTCAAAAGGGTGGCGTCCTCATGACTATGACGACGACTCAGCTGAGGCAGCTTTGCAATGGACATCAAAATGGTTGTGTATGTGGATTTTACTTCCTACATCTTTGTGATTGCACTTTGCACAGTTCAGAGATTGCTTTGTGCTGAAGTATCTGTTGGATGTGCACCCTCTCTGCCATGCTGCTTTGCTTCAAGATTTGTGTATTGTTGGCAACGATGTCATCCCCCCCCCCCCCCCCGTCCATCCAATTTAAGATGCATACTTTGCAGCAGTGCATATTAGCACAGGGTAATGGTAGACTGGCGTATGTCAACTTGTGTTGATCTGTAGTCAAGGCTCTGGTGAACCTGTGAGCCAAATATTATTTTGTTGCCTTTTATACAGCAGGGGACAATTTTGTCTCGAAAACAGCTAAAATCACCCGCTCCTTTCTTGGCCCCCCTGGCAGTGTGCTCGTGAGCCACGCAGCATGTAGGAGCGAGCGGTTGGGACGGGCCTCCTTATGTATCTACTGCGACTGCCGATAGAGCGAAGTGGTGTTGCGCCGCCTATGTCTGAAGCAAACGTGGCTGCCAATATGGTCTAAGAAAGAAGAAAATGAGGCAAAACAACAGTAACTTTTGGACAGTGCATCATGCTCTCTGTGAAACTTGCACCATCTCCTTGTGGCAATGAAAAAAAGAAAGCGCTCACTCTGTGCAGTAACTTCGCTTGTAATTGACTGAACTGGAAAACTTTTGCAGGGGGATATTCCCAAGAAGTCCTTTAGTAAATTCCCTCATTGTGTGATGACTTGGAAAGATTCGGTGGCTGTAGCGTTTGTGCCAGTCAGGGAAACTACGCATGAATTACCTACAATGTGAAACTGCACAGGGCTTGTGTAGCTACAAGGGAGCGAGTGTTTTGAGGCATTGTTACACATTCCCCTTTTGGTATAGAAATAGATCACTGCTTGAAAAAAAGTTAGTATTACAAGTTTTGTACCGTAAAATGCCGAGAAGGCGCCCCCATCCAAGTACGTGCCCCCTTTCCTTTTCCGGGAAGTCTGGAGTAAGCACCAACGAAAGGTTCGGGACCTAGCGAGCACCTTGTTTCAAATCGGGTCGGATTAGCCTTCCTTGTAGGGGGGTGCTTGCTTGGAATTTCACGGTCAAGTGCTCCAGTGCTTCTCGGAATGTTTTCTACTGTTAAAGGGCTTAGACTTGAATAAGTTATAAGGTATTTGATCATTATATTTGACATGCAATAATTACATTTGAGGCGTCATGCTGTTTTGATTTGTAGCAGTGTTTTTTCAACCCTTGTCATTTTAAGCTGCACTTGTCTAGCATTGGCCCTAATGTGAAAAAGATGATTAGGAAAGTGTAACCAAAACAGGAAATGTGTGTTGGTAACAGGGGTCTCAAAAGCCTGCAGCGAAGCCTGCTTCACTGGCAGCATCAAGGACAGCAAGTTCTGTTGCACGAAGTCCTCAAACTGTGCCATCAAGCAAAGCTCCGAGTGTCAAGCCAGCTGCTGCCAGAGCAGTTTCCGTTGAACAGCCAAAGAAGGTACGCACATTAACACAATACGACCGAAGATCTCAATTTCCAAAATGGTATGTTGGTGTTGGCATCTTTGTCTATAAGCGTGAATTCAAAATAGATGCAAATAAATAAAAATCTTATGTCCAAGTGCAAATGGGGGGAAAGGGAAAGGGGCCAGTGGTTTTAAAAGAGGAAATAAAAAGTGACTCCTCTAATGTCTGCATCAAAGTGGGACACTTCAGCAGTGGTTCACAGGGGAAGCGATTAGAAAGGATTGTAAGAGATCATGAGAAAAGTAAAGCTAAGGAAACTGTTAAAGAAGTTCGCAGATGAAGCGGCGATCGGCGAGCGGCTGTCGCAGAGAAGACATTGCGGATGAGACAACCGTCAGCGACGAAATCAGCTGAGCATCTCCAGTGCAAATCGAACCCAGGCCTGCTGCGTTGCTAGCAGATGTACCATAGCACCGCACCTCACTTGAAACTGTTTTCGAAAACCTTGTATGAACGTCATGTAGTCCAAGCAGTCTCCTTATGACGTAATATTGCGTGGCAGGGACGTAGACTTGCACCAGCTATCAAAACATGTGAATTGCGCAACAAGTCGGTGGTTTAGACGGCCACCTATTATAAAGTGCTCAGTAATAATTAATCATAATTGTCAGCAGATAAACAAAATGCGCAGCTGTGTGCGTGCAACTGTTGCCTTTTCCACACGCAGTGGGCGTTTCACAACTGTAAGTATTCACTGTTAGCATTCTGGGGTAAGTTCAGAAGGCCCAACTTGCAAGCGCAGATGTTCCTTTGCTTTTGGCACCCTCATGCTGTGACTTGTGCTAGTACTCATACTAATGATTACTTATCGCCTTGCCTGAACGTTGCATTGCAGTTTTTGGGGCAGGAGACTCATGAGGCAAGGAAGTTCACTTGTTGGGTCATTGTTTGGTGAGTTAAAGAAAAGCACCAGGCCTGTATGGAACATTTAGTACAGTCGCTGCGAAAAGCTGGAAAAGTGGCTTTTTTAATGTTCATTGCATAGCCTGGTGGGGTGACTACTGCAAGTGCAAGTTGCAAGGTACCCACTACAACATAAATCATCATAATTTTGCATATATACAGTAAGAAAGGACCACTATTCCATTCATCATTCCGTGGAGAAGCAAGGTACCCACTACACATCTGTAAGCCAATTGTGTGCACTTTGTTGACGCTTGGGCTGATGAGTTGAAGAGTCACAGTTGAATCCTTTGTAATGGGTGGGAGGCTTTAGACCACCCATTTGTTATTCGTATTGTGAGACATCTGGCTATTGAACTCTTTTTACCATGCTGTATTACATTTGTCATTGTTGTACCCTTGCTCTAAATGACGCCTGTATGACATCTTTTTGTGGAGGAGTTTCAAGAGCGAGTGTGGCTCTTTTGTAGAGTACTTGACTGCCACGTAAGAGGCCTGCATTCAAATCCCGCTCAATCCCGGACATTTTTTCTCCTTGTGCATGATAGCTGTCATGGACACTAGCGGGGACAGCTGACATAAGCCACTAAAATCTGCTGTTATGATGTCATCACAGCTTTTGCAGTAAAAGGTGTTGCAGATACCCCTTAACGGTATGCTAGAAAGGGCTTCTTGGAGATAAGGCTGACACGAGCACCAGTAGGAATGTTCCCTTAAGCTCTTGAAACACCCTTAAACCATATGCGCAAGTTGCACTAGCAGACAGACTACTTCTAACAACACCCACAATATACTTTAGTGCCTGTGTGCCAGATGTTGGGATACACAGCTATCGTAAAATAATTTCCAGTATTTTCGTTGCTACAAATTTAGATATTGTGTTTGATGCTGTCAACACTGGCATGGTAAACAATCTGCCAGAATGCCATCTGTTGGAAAAATCATTTTTTAATAATTACAGAGGGTTTCTGGTAGTAATTACACAGGTGCTATCATTAAGGTAAAAACAATTTCACCGCCTGTCTTCTCCACTATGCATGTTAGATAGCCACTCTAATCAATGTTCTCTGAAAATGTTAAATCGCAAGTTTTAGTAAGTACGTCTTAAGAACAAGCTGTCTGCAGAATAAGATAGGTGGACAAGTAGGTTTTCTTTTATTATGATACAAAGGCAGCATCTGGCCAGATGTCCAGAGTCGACTCTGTCAGGGTTCTAGGTCTAATACTTAACGCATAGGGAAGCAGCAATCAAACTGTTGCCCGCGTAAAGACACAAGGTGAAAATTATGCTCAGGTTATTCACAAAAGTCAAATCACAGAGGCGGCCTCATTGAGAGCAATCTCCTGATGCTGTATCATGCGTTCCTTATAAGCCACACAGTCGCATCGGCGCCAAAATGGTCGCACTCGGAGAAAGCCAAACTTGATGTGCTGATAAGAAAAAGCATCAAATGCATGCTGGGAATTCTCATTTGAACTAGCACAGAGAAGCTCCTCAAACTAAGTTTGCACAACACCCTCATCAGAGATAATCGATGCACAAAGAAGGGCGTGAAAAGTAAGTTTCTCGTCTTCGAAGGCATGCGAAAACTTCGCATCTTAAAGTCTGCATTATTGGCCCCCTTGGCCATCAATGAGAATGCCATCATGCTCTCTCACACGTTTAGGGAAACCTTTCAGGTAAGCCCTTTCCTAAGGAATGCGCACCCTCAATATAATGCGACTAGGCGCAAGACATGAGCCTGCTCCCTTGTAGACATTGCGCACAAAGCCTTGATCTAACTACCCTACTTATGCAGATGCTGCGCAGTATGGACACACGGATTCATTTCTATCTGGATTCACGGATTCATTTCTATTCCTTTCTATCTGGCCTAATCTCGAAAGAAGCGGGGCTATGATCAAGCTAAAGCCACTTGATGCCTTTCACTACTATCTCATGGTTCCCAGTGCACATGGTAATCAATTGGCATCCCCGAAAACCCAACCTGGGTGGACTAGTTCAAGACCAAGCACGAGGTATGGCATTCCACGATGATTCGGATACGTGAGACAATTCGGGTTGAGAGCATAACTCCGGCCCATTACTCTATTTTCACGAAACAGTGAAGCACTATCGGCTTGAGCGCAGGAAATTCGTGCTTCCACACCCAAAGCTGACTAGATTTCAATCTTCCACTCTGAACATGTTACAAATGGGATCATTCCTGTCGAGGGGAAGGTTTAGTTGGTTGGCTCCAGACATCGACGCACACTGCCCTGTGTGTCATGAAGAGTATTGCTCGTTAGAGCTCATGCTCTGGCAATGCTCTAGCAATGTTTGGTGTTAAAAAATGCCTCTTTTAAAAAACAGATTGGGAAGAAACCTTCAAAAGCAATGATCTCCATGAACAACTAAGAATGGTCCAAAGGGATCGTGAATTGGTGGAAGACCATAATCTTCCGGTCCCAACGTGATCGTGGCCTGTTCCTTAGGACTCGAATAAAGTTTAACTGATGAACTGACTAAAACGAATGCAAAAGAACAAGACAGGACAGGACATATCAAATGAGTCTGCCTTCTCAAATTATTGGGCATTATTCTAGTGCTGCCTTTTAATTATCACAAAATCTGTGTTGGAGCCTATGGGTAGGTGGCCCTTTACGAATGAGAGTTATGAAATTTGTTTTGAGGGTATTATGTTCCATGCAAACTGGCCCATAAATTTGTAAGTAACCGTTGGATATCACATGAAGGCTGAGAGCCATAATCGCTATCATCAGTACGTGACCTTACCATACGGTGTGGTCACATACCAATCGTCATGCTTTAGTTCGGGCATTTTCATAGCATTTGTGGCTATTTTGTAAATAATTGTTACTGATTATAGCTGTAACTTACAGCCCACCTCTGCGCCAACGTCAAGACCGGCGAGAAGCTACGAATGGTACCCCGCCCGTCTCCACGCAGCAGAGGACGCCGGCAGCGGCCCCGAAAGCAGCACCTCCTCCCCCTGAGGCTCGGCCCTTGGGTCCAAACCAAGAGCGGTGCGATATCTGCGGCCGGGGCTTCAACAAGGACCGCATCGAAAAGCACAGGACCATCTGTCAGAAGGCGGCTACCAAGAAAGTGAAGGTCTTCGATGCAACCAAAATGAGGACAAAGGGTACGGAAGCAGAGGCCTTCGTGAAAAAGGGTCTCCACAAGAAAGAAGTAAAGGTCAGTGTGTGCACTTCAGGTTTGATTTCTTGCTGCATGCAGCTTAAAGTGTCCTACATAGCGGTTCTGTTTTCGCATCAAAATGCATGTCTTTTAGTCCTGCTGTGTGCTACTTCGGTACGCCTTTATATAGCAGTACATGCAAGAACTTCGTTGCATGGACGTAGTTCGTGCTCTAATGATGCTACTCATTCCCAGTCTTCACTTCTGCTACATTTTCGTTGCGCAATAATAATATGGCTCAATCTATAAGAACCTTGACGGATGGTATGTAGGAAGCAAGCAGCACAAACGAAAAGTGTTGCAAGTAGCTTTTCGACTTCACAAAGCTTCACGTACCACTCAAGGCATCACTATAATGCAAGAAATCGTAAGGAATGGAACATTGCGAACTAATCGCTAATGCACTTGCGAAAGATGAATTCTCATTTTAAAGGGTAATAGATGGTGTCCTTGTCTCTTGCTTTTGGTACGTTAAACCCAAACTGTCCTCCTTGCTATTTTTCCTGTCTCTTTCTCACCCTTGCGGCATTTCGTGCAGCATTGCGGCAAGTTGCAATTCACTGAAGCACCGGAACAAAACATTACATACAATAAAGCATTGGGCACCAACTACACAGCTGCTAAATCTGAACGAAAGGAAACATTGCAATGTAAATGTGTGCGGGCTGTTCACGCTGGCACTGTGTTTGCAGGTGAAGAAGCCCAACTGGCGTGCCAAGCATGAGGAGTTCCTCAATGCGGTCCGACAGGCGAGGATGGTGCAGGAACACTTGGCCGCCGGCGGCAAGCTTTCAGACCTGCCGCCGCCACCACCGTCGGAGAACCCAGACTACGTGCAGTGCCCCAAGTGCCTCCGCAAGTTCAACGAGACTGCTGCCGAGAGGCACATTCCCCGCTGCAACCTCGCTCCCAAGACGTCTTCTAGCACGCCGACCAGGAGGCCAGCTGCCGTCTATGGCCGCAAAGTGACGAGACTGTTTGACCAGTCGACCAGTTGTTTTACCAGAGTTGACCAGTCATCCAGAGGTAAGGTTCCCTCTGGGCTGTTCAGGGGGACGTCATTGGAAAGGGATGGGTGTAAGGCATAAATGTCTTATTACTCTCACGTTAATTTTGGAGATGAAATCAGTCTCAAAATTTTGTGCAGCGCAGCACGCGATACATCACTGTATATGGCTCGCGCCATTACTGGCAGTGTATTAAACTGACTACCTTCGATTTACGGTAGTACTTGTTAACTTCATGTCTTGATATGTCTGTTACGGAGTTGCGCAAGATCTGCTAAAGTAAGTGTGTGCTTGAGATGGATCATAGAGGAATACCAGCCCTGGTTGACGGTGTAAGGCATTGATTAGAGAGGTAAAAGAGGCTGTTTTCATAACAGCTGCCTTTGCTGGCTTTGTCTTATTATTCCTCTCTGTAATTCATGCCTTACTATGTCAATATTTTTTTCGTGAGCATCAACGCACAATTGTTTGACACTCTGCTTGCTGGGTCATTTTTCAGAATTATGTGCTCTACATTTTGTGTCCTGTTTTACTTGTTTTATTGTGGGCTGTGTCTGTGTTTAATGAAGCCCAACTTTTAAGGTGTCTCATTTGTGTAACTGCTTATTGTGACTTAGTAAGTTCAAGGAATGGCCAGCAGGGAAAGAGAAAATTGTGAGGATTTGAAACCTATTGGTTGTGATATGTGCTTTGAGGACACAAGAGTTATACCCAAGGTGTGGCGGCCAGATTATAGTGCATAAAACAACTCGTATGGTAGTTTCTTTGGTAGAGTGATTCTTTTCAGCAACATGCAGCCAAATAGTCAAATGAGCACTAGTTGTTCAATGAGAAAGGATATACAGTACTACAAACATGCACATCACATTTAAAGCCTGCAGTTGAGGTAATATAGTGTGTCACTCAGTTCTTAAGGAGGCATAGAACTGCATTCACTCCTTTGTCAACAAATTTGTCTTTACATTACTTACTAAAACATGTTTTTTTGGAAGAACAGATAAAGCACATCAGTAACAAATAAGCGGCTCGCATGTGTGTGGTTAGGGTCGTGCAGATATTAACAAAAATTTTGAATGCAAATAGACATATTTGTTTCCTATTTGATTATCCACTTTGAGAATTTGCAACTGTAAGTTACTGTATGTCCTTTTCTTTCCAATTCTATATAAATGCCTACATTTAGTGAAATTCAGAGGGAGACAGCATGATGGATATGAGGGCTGTTTTGAATTGTTCAGGGTAGATGCAGCTATAGCAGGGGCGGCAGTGTTTGAACGCACGCACAGGGCACATAGGCTGCTCAATAACTTGCACTTGTGTGATAAGTGACATTCTTTTATAGGTACTTAACCAACTCGGTCCATTTTGCAGTTATTTGACCTTGTTTACAACCTTTAAAATGGATGTTAAGTTCTTCCAACCTATCACATGCAAAAGACACTACACTGTATGGGAATACAGCTGATAGTGTTTTCAACCTTAAAGGTATTAGACGAGCATCGCTCGTTTACTTGTCTCCCAGTCATCATTTTGAACCAGACTCTCTAACTTTCCAGGCTAGCTGGTGTGTTTCTTCATCTATGGCAGCATTTGGTTAGCAATTCCTTTCATTTTAACTACCATTTCACTTTTTTTTTACTTTTTTAGAAAATGTTGTTCAGTGAAGCCAACTTGTGCGTTGTTCATTGATCATCACAGAAAAAGCCTTTAATCGTCGTGCAGCTCTTCAGGGGCTAGTTATTCAGATATCAAAGTTTACTTCGACATCTTGTGTTTTCCAGTGTTACGATGATGTCATTATTTTGCAAATCGTGAAAGACATGGGCAATAATTTTGACTTGCAGCGGTGGTCTAGTAGCTAAGGTACTCGGCAGCAGACTCGCAGGTCACGGGATCGAATCCTGGCGGCGGGGGCTGCATTTTTGATGGAGGGGGGAAGTGATTTTTAAGTGAAAAGAAGAGAAAAGTGGGCCCCGTAACTGTCTCTCAGGGAGAGGACACTTCAATAGTAGCTCACAAGGGGTGGGGGTAAGGAGGGATCGAAATAAGATTAAAAGGGCGAGATAGAAAGAGCAGAAGGAGAGAGCGAGGCACAGGGACAGCCAACGACAAAAGTGAGGAGTAGATAGGAAAGATGGACAGAATAGCGGGACGGGGCAGCACACTACCAGAGCTCTTGTCGGCGTCAGAAGATGGCATAGGGCGAGCTAGTCGGCCAGAGCTGCGCTGTCGTCAGAGATTGCAGGGGCACAACCGGTCAGCATGAAATCCAGCGAGCAAGTCTTTCGATGGAGGGAAAATGTTGTAGGCCCGTGTTCTCGGATTTGAGTGCAGGTTAAAGAACCCGAAGTGGTCAAAATTCCCGGAGCCCTCCACTATTGCGTCTCTCATAACCATGTGGTGGTTTTGGCACGTTAAACCCCACGTATCAATCAATCATTATGGGAAATAATCGTCTTTATGCTAATTTGAGGCCCAACATGTGTGAAGTTTTTCATCAATCAAAGCATGCTTTTTAGAAGCAAGAAATTTTGTGTTAAAATTGAAGCTAAATGTTTTTAGAATCTCCAAAAAATAAAGTTAAGAGCCCATGGAAAGCTTTTGCTGTGTCGCCCCAAACAAACTTACAGCAAAGCATTGCTCTCATTTGGATTGTGCTCGGATTTGAAATGATACTCCCCGATTCCGCTAGCTTGAAGTCTTTAACTGATGTGCACTTGTCATCGCTTTGCAGTGACCACGGACCACCTTGGAAAATGTTGACAAGCCTCGAACCTGTTGTGCTTCTCAAGCAACAAGCAGTTAAGTGTTCAATGACATTTTGCTGCGAGACTGTTGCCACTGTTTTTTATCCCTGGCTGTGTTTCAAGACGCCAAGGCATTGTTTCATGCCTTGCATAGTGGTTTTACACTTTTGCAACACAAGGACGAAGGAATGCAAGCGATGCTGTGTTCTGTGAAGGAGTTCCCGGTGAATTTCTTTTTTTTTTTTTGCTGTATCTTTTACTGTTTCGTTTTCTAATATATCTTTACTGTGCTTTGCCACACCTCCTGTTATGGCCATTCCTGGTGAGAATGTACGTGTTGTTAATAAATGCTTTTTCTCTTGTATTTATCTTTTGTGTGCATAGGCGTGTATGCGTGTACGTGCACTCTCAAATGCTGGCACCTCTATAATGGTGGTGGCACCAAAAGCGAGACTAAAATTTTAGAACACACCTACCTTCAAACAGATTTGCTGTTATCTTTTTGCTAGCTAAAAAATGATTTCGAATTTTGCAAGATTTGAGTTGTACAGATGAAATGGCAAACATTTGCATTTATAGCTGCACAGCACAATAAAACATTCTTATTAATTGCTGTCAAAACAGTGCCATCTTACTTCACACGTGTAACACACGCAAATGTGTAAAAACTTCTGTCTGTAGGGCAAAAGGAAATGCACTGGAAGACATTGTAAGAGGCAGTTGTCTGCATTTAAGAATTGTTGCTGTGGGGTCACCTTCTTGTGCTGAAGGTATGATTAGGCCCAGTGTATGTACACTGCACAGATAGAGGAACAAGTGTGTAGTTTGGTTGACAATACAAATACCATAGCAAAAACGGCGCACACTTGATGAGGTTGAACCGAAAAAGCACATAATACGTGCACTATGTCCTGCGTTTCTTCAATGATTAGTTGGCGCCTGTGTTTCCTCGAGATGCGTTTGTCCAGTTTGTCGCATCACCACCATTCTGTGTAGTTGGTGCCTGCGTCCTTGGCCCATCCTTGTCCAGTGTACGCTGTTTTTGCCCGAGTAATGCGATGAATATGGCTGGCAGAAGTAAGGAAACTCATCATGCGCATGTTTGTTTCAAAAGGCATTTCTATGCCAATCAAACGGAAAGCTGTCTGTCCTGTTATGCAATGCGAATCGATATTGGGGAAACAAATTCTTAAAGTAAGCATTTAATTCTTGGCAATGCAGAGTTTGGAGCCTGTGCCACTCTGCTTCAAAAGACTCTAAGCCAAAACATTTTTGTTTTGTATCAAAGCTGTCTTCCTTTACCCTGCCGCTGTCTTTGCATAATAGTGGTAGTATACGTAAGACCTACGTAATTCACATACTTGTTTGCATAGTTCTTGAAGTGGGCATCGACATGCAGGTCATGCGACTAGAGGGGGTAGTGAATAATTAAATAAAACTAGTTGAGCGTGGTGCTTGAAATGGTGACCTTAGTACTGAAAGTTCTCAATATCACAGCTTCTCTGTCTAAAGGATGTCTCGGTTTGAATCTGGCTGATTTTTTTATTATTCTATGTATGGAAGTAGCAGCTGGAGTGCGTTGTTAAAACGTCAGCAAGTGAACCGAAGGTTACATGAAATCAACTTCACTTTATCGATGCATTTAATATTGGTAGTAACAACTTGGTTGTTTGCCTTTTTTTTCGCTCTCTTGCTATGGACATCTTGCTACGCACCTTAATGAAGTTGCCAATAAATACACCTGGATAGATGTGCCACGTAATTATTGTTATGTTCGTGGGTCTCCACATATTGTATAACTAACATGGTGTGCATAGCCATATGTTCCATTGAAATACAGAGCTAAGCACCCACACTTGTGGAATGTGAACTTACCTGAAGAATATTGATAAGTGATACTCGCAGTGCCAAACGTTCGTAATAGTATAACAGTTTCTGGGAGGCTTTGTTGGGTTGCAGCGCAGCGTAACAAAAGCCCGGTGTCTCTAGTGCAAGATGTCAAGTCTACATATAGGACTGTACACAGCAGGAAGCAGGCTGTCTGAAAACTCATGTGCGTGGGGCCGCTCCAGACCATGATGAAACTGGAACGACGATTCGTTCATGCCGATGCCATTCGAACACATTTATTTAATCAATGAAGTAACCCATAGGCAGGCGCGCACGGGGCAGCAGGGGACGCGGGGGGTCGCAAAGCAAGCTCATGCAAGCATTCATTCACGTAAATAAGAATTAAGAGGGTGTGCAAAGTCAGCCGGCCATTGACATAGGGAAAGATCGCTGCGATGACCCCCCCCCCTTCGAGGGATCAAGAACCCTGCCCATATCCGGAAACTTGCAAGACAACTACACGCTTACTCAACAGGTAGGCGACTCCGCAAATGTATTATTCCGCGATTTTTTTCTTTGGACTACAGCAAATTATAGATGCGCGGTGATCTGATCAGCGTGCTAAACGATCCGCTTAGTAGGAACTCGGTGCCAGTAAGCTTGTGAGCGCGTTTGGGCATTCACTAAGCTCTGTCCGCCAGGCGGTACTAGCAAGTGCGGTGCCATAGAGTTACTGTATATGATAAAAGATAAATCTAGTTGGTGGTTCACTAAGTATTACGGCTAGGTGGTGACAGCCGTTGCCCGATCTAAAGGGTACAGCCACATCCATCCATCCATCCAACCATAGAGTTACTGTATATGATAGTATATACAGTAACTCTACGGTATCATTACGCCTCCATAGCCGTGGTTCGTGAACGATCCGGCTTATGACAGCCTGGTGTTTGGTGTGCTGAACCTCACTAACTTGTTTTCATAGAAAAAAAATGTTGCTGATATCTGTTTAGGAATTGGTATAACACAAAAATAAAACATGTCTCCATGGTGGTAGTTGAGCGTTTACTGCGAATTCTTTCACCACAAGGCAGAAGGAATTATTACTACAGCAAGAAATTGCAAAGTCGTGCGAATAACGGCAAGCTGCTAGAAATTCGCAACGCGCGTCGGACAAAGCACGCACGAAATGAGCCTGATGACTGACATGTGCGGTTCAACCTCCCAAAACCACCATATGATTATGAGAGATGCCGTAGTAGAGGCCTCTGGAAATTTGGACCACCTGGTGTTCATTAACCAGCACCAAAATCTGAGCACACCCGTGCCTACACCATTTTCGCCTCCATCGAAAATGCAGCTTGGATTCAGTCCTGCGAATAAGTAGCCGAATACCTTAGCCACTAGACCACCGCACCGTGGCTGAACGAAATAAGCATACTTAGGACGAACGCGGATATAACAACTGTCGCAGCTCGACATTTAAAGGGCACTGTTCAAACAGAAAGGCGCCTGAAACGAACGCACAAGTATACACAGGATAAGCGTGAACAACTGTCACAATTTTTACTACTTCGTCTGTGAGCAACGTGTTCCTTTTGTAAATTCCTCCGCAGCAGCGAGCGAAATGACTCCCATGCTATCTCGAATCGCGAGTCTGATAAGCGCGCGCTGAAGAGACTGCGCTGCATGGAGGCGGCTGTCTCCGAAACGCGAGAGGCGACGACCATTAGAGCGGGCCCTGCCAATGCCACCTAGAACAAAAATTGGTTCCAAATCTGCATGTTACACCGCAAATATAGTCGAAAGACGATAGTCTTGAGTCTAGAGAGAACGATCAATACGTTTCTTTGATCTTCTGCGCAAGGAAATTGGTGAATGGTATTCTGGAGGCGCTGTGGCTAGAGCTTGTAGCGGAGGCGAACGAGCGAATCGAGGATGGATGGATGGGTGGATTGATATGGCTGTACCCTTTAGATCGGGTTGCGGCTTACGCCACCAAGCCGTAATACTTAGTAAACCAAAAACTAGATTTATTTTTTTCCTTTAAATAGTGAGGTTGAGGACTCGTACTTTGCAGCAAAGGATTTAATTTTCACTCATGCTTTGACTTTAGCCACCAATTAGATAACCTCCTTCTAGTTATTTCTAACCGCTTAAAGTCTATTTCGCCCTCCCTGTCCCTAAACCACAGTGCTTCGAGAAACTCTTCGCCCTCATCCTGAACTATTGGGTGAAGCCCTTTACAGAACATTATAAAGTGTTCGGCACTTTCCTCTTCCTCTCCACATGCTATGCATACCGTGTCTACTCCTTCGTAATTCGCCCGATATGTCTCGGTTCGCAATACTCCCGTCCTGGCCTCAAACAGTAGAGAACAGTAGAGAGTCCCCAACCAACACAGCAAACTACCGTGTCTCTTTCCGTAACCTTCACCAACATTCGCAGTTTCATTTCGAAACGCGAAATCGTCTCTAACCTTGTTTCATCATCCAGTAGCAACTTGCTTTTATTAACGGAAACATGGCTTAATAGTGATGTAAGCGATCAGGAAGTTCTAGCTGACTTACCAAATTTTCAGATCTTCCGTAAGGACCGGGACGGCAGAATGGGAGGAGGGGTGCTCATTGCTGTTAGCCAGGGCCTACCCGCTACTTTGGTAAATATTTCGTCAGACTTGGAAATAATATGGATAAAATACCAAGCTGTACCGCAATCAGTTTTAATTGGCGTGTGCTACAGGCCCCCACATAGGAATCCTGACTTTCCCGGCATGCTTAATTCGGTGCTAAATGAACTTTCAACAAAGTACCCTAATGCCCATATTATCTTGTTTGGCGACTTTAATTTCCCAAATATTGACCGGCCTAATCTAACTGTTAACGGAGGACTACTGAGTGAGGCGAGTGATTTTGTTAATGTATGTCTAAATTTCAACCTAGCTCAAGTTGTCACCAAACCAACCCGCGTAACCCAAGACTGTGAAAACATATTAGACCTAATACTAACCAGTATTCCTGAAAGTGTAACATCTATTTCCTACTTGTCAGAAATAAGCGACCATAAAGTAATTCAAGCCGACATTTTAATCACTCCTCCAAAACAACGAACCACCAAAAAAACCATACGACTATATGATAAAGGAAACTACACTGCTATAAATGATGAAAATGATGAATTAAACTGTTTTCTTCCAATATTCAAAGATAGTTTTCTTTATCGCACGGTGCATGATAACTGGAAGTTATTTAAGGATAAATGTGATACACTGGTCGAAAAATTCATTCCTAAGCTCAGTTTCTGTGCCTGTTCCCAAAAATCATGGTTTACTAAAACGCTCAAAAATTTAGAAAATAAGAAAAAACGCCTTTTTCGTTCCGCCAAGCAGCAGAATATCGAAAACGCATGGTTAAAATATTATGATGCTGAGAAAGCTTACCTCACGGCAATACGAAACGCTAAGCATTCTTTTTTTCACACTCACTTACCGAAATTGCTTGCTAGTAACCATAGGAAATTTTGGCAGGTCATAAATCCCAACCACTCATGCACTATTACTCTCACTAATGAAGCAGGTGACGTGGCCACTGACTCGGAATGTGCCGACCTGTTTAATAGAGCTTTCTCATCGGTTTTTAGCAAAGAAACTGACGTTCCACCCCCGCCACAGCCTATCGTAGTCAGTACTTCCATGCCGCCAATCCTTTTTGTTGAACCCGGAGTTTTGGCAATCATTGATCAACTTAAATTATCTTCATCATCAGGTATCGACAACATAAATTCGAAATTTCTAA